ATTATTATATATTTGTATTCAATCTCTGCTAGAAATTCCCTTGGATAAAATATAGGATATTGGATTGTAGAATTGAATTTGATGCTGACCTTCCACACTTTATAAACTTGTTACCACCATTTTAGATGGCTAAGCAAATTATTATGGTTCCTAATGAGATCTTTCTAAAACAAATGCTTTCAGCATGCTGGCCTGTATAGGATCTGTGTGCTTATGCGTGTCCATGTACTCATGTAATGATGCACGGGTGCTATTTTTCTGAATGTTCCTGACAAGCTTTGTTTTATCCAGACCTTTTACAAAGTTTTCCAGAGCTGGGCTTCAAAGAAGTTCATAAGCGGATGGTAAGCAGCATTCTTTTTCTGTTTGCTTAAGGTTTATTTACTAATGAGATTTTTGTGCAATTATCACTTGTATGATGTTTAATGATTTGCATATTCTATTCTTCCATATAACTTTTCTTATGTCCTTGATATCGAGTGAAAATGCTTTCACTAGTGCAGTGAGCCTAAATATCTTTGTTTAGCTTTACTTATAGTAATGATTATAGTGACTTTTAGAACTGAGTTAGCTGTTAAATATTTGAATAAGAGATAAGTGTAAATGCCTTGAAATAGTTTCCAAATTATCCGTATATTTTATACACAAAGAGTTTGGTGAAAAATAAGCATTTCAGTAACGATTGGGATGCCAATTGCTAGTCTTTCCTTGCCATTATTCAATATAATATAATTCTTTATTCACAATGCTTTCTTGGAATAGTTATGTTGAATCTTCATTTGAGAAGTGAAATTGGTGTGGCAGATTTAATTTTGTATCCAGCCCAGTACCATTTATTTTGTCTTTTTTTCTCTTTTTCTCATAAATTTGGTTGGTTGTCTTGAAATTCCTCTGCTACTTATCTCTCATCTTACAAAATCATAGTTCTTGGGTTCTTGCCATCATGGATTTGTGCTAATTAATTATTTGATGAACTCAGAAACTTCAGAGATTTAGTTTCTAATACCAAATATATTCTCGTGGCATTTTGTCTTATCAAATCTATATTGTCATTCACGATTCTGTTATAACAGCAACTAATTCATAGAAGATGTCTTGCAGTGTCATTCTGTTTCCTATTGCAATCACTTTCTACATAACATGGTGGTTTGTTCACTTTGTTGATGGTTTCTTCTCTCCAGTTTATGATCAACTTGGCATTGATGTATTTGGTGAGCATTTCTCTTAGCAGCTAAAAATATTTTCTTTTTGCCTTGTTTCATGATTGTTAAATCTCTATTTTCCCCTTTCTTAAGGCTTCTAAATGTGAGGACAACTTTGCCCAACTAGTTATTATTATTATTTTCTTAGAGATTGTGGAAATAACTGTGATAAGAGCTTGGATGATATTTTAAAAGGCTCGAGGAATCCCTTTTTTTGGCATCCATCATTCTTTTTAGAAGTTTTCCTTGTGGTTACTGCCTGCATTATACTTATTAGCATGCTTCATATGAAATTTCTGTAAATCAGCCTGATAGTATTGGAAATAAATATTTATGCATATATTCAGGACATTTTAGTATAGGAGAAGTGCTTATTAGATTGTTGATTTACGATTTTAAATGTGAGATCTTACCAAATATGGTGTGTACTGCAAGAAAGCTGAATTGTCTTTTCACAAGGTGGCCTTTGCAAATGATCTACCCTTGTATCCTATATCTAAATATTGGTAGTCATTTTTTAAGGTCTCTTTATGTTTTCTCCTTTTACTTCTTGATAGGTCTCGGATTTGTAACTTCTATTACATTCATCTTCTTGATTGGAATATTCATGTCATCATGGTTGGGAGCATCTGTCCTCGGCCTTGGTGAGTGGATTATCAAGCAGATGCCGTTTGTTCGCCATATCTACAATGCCTCCAAGCAAATTAGTTCTGCTATTTCACCAGGTGTGTGTTCTGCTGGTTTTCTTCCTCATGAAATAAATAAGTTTAGTTAGTCATCAGATATGCTACATTACTTTAATGTTTTACATCTTTATTGCAATTCAGATCAGAACACACAGGCCTTCAAGGAAGTAGCCATCATAAGGCATCCACGTCTTGGAGAATATGCATTTGGGTTCATCACTTCATCCGTTATTCTGCAGGTGAGCAAATGAAGCTTTTGCTCCGAAGCTATCATTATGTTATTACTTTCCTCATTTTACTTATTTTCCTGTTTCATAATCATCATGCTTCACATGGTTTCATTGGCATGCTGCCTGCAGAACTTCTCTGGGGAAGAAGAGCTATGCTGTGTCTATGTTCCCACGAATCATCTTTACATTGGTGATATATTCCTCATCAATACAAAGGATGTTATCAGACCGAATTTATCAGTTCGTGAAGGAATTGGTGAGGGTTTCTCTTCTTGTGTTGCGTCTGTTATTTACGGATATTTTCCTTGCTATTATCAAGTAGTCTGTTGTGTTATAGGCCTCCTATTGTTTGGCGGAATTGGTTTGAAATTGTCACTTAATATAAGGACGTGTTCTTGATTTTTAAAGCAATGGTTTTGGTATTGGAGTAGTTGTATGAAAAAGGGAAGAAAACAGAATGGAGCAAAGGCGTCACTCTAACTTTCTCTGCTCCAAATTAAGCTTATATCTCACTCATTCTTCTGTTGCAGAAATTGTTGTGTCCGGGGGAATGTCAATGCCGCAAACCCTATCAACATTAGGTTCGCGGTTGCCCCTTGAGAGAAGTAGGTCTGACATAAGCTGAGGTTTAATGTGGCGGTTGTAGAGTTTTTATTTATTGGTTTTTCCCCTGGTTTGAGATTGAAGTCAACAGAGTGCCCCACGCAATCAATGTTTCGGTAATGCGGGATTCAGAATGAGATTGCAAATTTTGTATAAACTTAATGCTTAACTCAATTGATTCATTCAAGTTCTGTGGTTAAAAATATTACTCATAAATTTCTTTGGTTTGTGTATGATACTTGTGGCTTATGTATGGTTGCTTGTTTACATTTTATTTTAGTAAATATCACCCGTTTGCTTTCAAATATTGTTGGGTTAAAATTACGGGGCAGGTGCCACCGAGGTAGGTAGTTTATCTTGGTCTTTAAAATTTTTGTATTTTTAAACTTTAAAAATTGCAATTTTTATTTTGAATTATTAAAAACATTAGAGTTTTACATGTTTTTATCTTGACGTCTCAATATAAAATCTACAAATTAGCTACCATTTATGGGTATTTCAAACGTTAAAGATACTTTATCTAAAATTGGTTTGTTAGACGTATTCAAGGATGGGAGTATTCATCCAAGTTTAATGATTTATTCGAGATTTTAGAGGGTTTAGATAAAATTAATAGGTTTGGAAAATGAGTGTAGATAAGAATAATAAACATGGATTGAGTTTGAAATTCATTATAGACTTGAATTTGGTTTGGTTTAATTTCTTTTTTCTTTTATTCGTTATATAATATAATATTGTATATAATATTTGAGTCGACAACATTGGAGAATGATTGTTAGTGTCGGAGAAGATTGAGATTTTTGAAAGGGATTTTAAGTTGGATTAAATTGATAAGATTTTTAGATACGGAAGATTTATTGAAGTATTTAAATTATGATCAATTTGATAGGATGTATATGTTTTGAGGATTAAAATTGTTATTAAGTCGATAAGGAGTGATTAGAATAAAAATATTAAATATAATTTTTTTAACAAAGGAATAGTTAATTAAAAGCGAGAGAATAGATGGTTGGCGAAATATAAGAACAATGCAAGTTTCTGATGGTAATATAAAGCTCATTTATGAAAGAGTTGAACGTAAAAACAATGTCGTAAGCCCTGAATCCTGATGCATGCTCCGTCAAACATGACGCTAACGTTAGTCCAATCCAACAACCAGATTAACGGAATCACTGCCGACACTCGTTCCCGAACCCCTAACTTCACAAGTTCCATACCTCAGCTCCGAACCTAACCTTTGGTAATATAGTTCGTACACTTCTTCTCTTCTCTTGTCTACCTCCCTTTGTCCTTCTTCACTTCCCTCACTGTAACTCCACAACTCAGCTGATCTCTCCGTCTTTCGAAAACAATTCAATTCAAAAGTTTACGATGCACACAAAATCCGATTCCGACTTAACAAGCTCAGTCGATCCGTCGTCTCCGAGATCCCCCAAACGCCAACTTTACTACGTCCAAAGTCCTTCCAGGGAATCCCACGATGGCGACAAGTCATCGTCCATGCAGGCAACGCCCGCATACAGCAGCCCCATGGAGTCTCCTTCTCACCCTTCTTACAACCGTCACTCCAGGGCCTCATCCGCTAGTCGTTTCTCGGGAACCCTCGAGAAAGGAAGGAAGAGAAACGAAAAGGGCTGGACTGAGTGTAACGTTATTGAAGAAGAAGGGGAGTATTTTTATGGGAAAGATAAAGGGTTAGCGAGGAGGTGCCAGATCTTGATGGCTGTGTTTGGGTTTTTGGCGGTTTTCAGTTTGTTTTGTTTGATCATTTGGGGTGCCAGCCGCCCTTACAAAGCTCAAATTGTTGTTAAGGTTTGCTTTTATAGCTATATTTAAAAATAATACAATGTTCTTGTCGTTATATAAGAGTATTATTTAATTACCCTTTGATTCCTTTAGACATAAGATACTCGAAAAAAGTAAAATTAAAAAAATTGGTTCTTGTCAGAAACTTGGGACAGTTGTGTTCGTTCTTAATTTCTGCTACACAAATCGAATTGTCTTAAAAGAAAGTGTCTGTTTTGCAGAGCTTGACAGTCCATAATTTCTATTTTGGAGAGGGAGCCGACATGACTGGAGTTCCGAGCAAGATGCTTACAATGAATTGTTCAGTAAGGATGACAGTACACAATCCTGCAACTTTCTTTGGTATTCATGTTAGCTCCAATCTTGTCAACCTAATGTACTCAGAAATCACGGTAGCCACTGGTCAGGTAACATTTTCTTAGACGTTTTTTTCACGACAATAACAAAAAGTTTTGGCATTTTGATCTTATATTTGTATTTTTGTTGATTGCAGTTCAAGAAGTACTATCAGCCAAGAAAGAGCCGTCGAACTGCGTGACTCTCCATGGAGACAAGGTTCCTTTGTATGGGGCAGGGGCAAGCTTAGCAGTCTCGAATGATGGAAGTGGAGTTCCAATGAAGTTGGTGTTTGAAGTTCGGTCCAGAGGGAATGTGGTGGGGAAGTTGGTGAAGTCGAGGCATCGGAAACGCATCTCTTGTTCTTTGGTTATTGATTCTCACAGTAGCAAACCTCTCAAACTTAAAAACAGTTCATGCCAATACGACTGAGTGGAAAATCGGTTCATTCTCCACTTGGAAAATGGTGGGTTTTAGGTGTATTTAAGTTATTTTTAAACTTTCTAGTGATTGGTAAGTGTGGAAGTAATAATAGTTTATGAAACAGTATTATCATCAGTTTGGAGAAATAGGAAATAATCTTGATCTTGTTGATAGGATATTAAGTTCGATTCACTAAGACCGTTTATGCTTGTTTACTTGTGAACTCCATGAATGATTTCTGTGATCATTGATCAAACAAGTTTTTGGTTCATGTATCTGTTGTTGCTCTGTGCATTACAAGAGTAGTCCTTTTTATAAATTAAAAATTCAATATTTCTGAACACAACGAGAAACAAGAACTGACACATGATCAGTTAAATACTTGCAAGTCTTTCGACTGTAATTCAACTATAAATGGAACCACAGAAAATTAGTTGCATTAACCATTAATAGGCTCAAATCTACATACATGACACGGCAAAACGACCTGTCTTACAAGAATAGCTTTTCTACTGAGAAATGATAGCGTTGTAAAAATTTTGAAAACTCATAATGAGCAAGCAAAAGAAATGAGTCAAATGACGTAAAAATTATAAAATCAGTAGGGCTGAATACATCTATTCAGGCACTTTGGCACCCTCCTCCTTGTTAATGGCACAGCCACTCTCAATCACGGTGCAACCTATCCTTTTGGGGGGCCAATAACGAAACACTGATCTTCCTATGATATTCTTGGCTGGGAGGGGACCCCTAAACGAAACAAAACACGAGGAATCAACAAAAAGGAATAGGGGGAAACCTGCTGATTTAAGGATCGACATGGTTGAGCACCATATCTTACCAAACGTGGGAATCATAGCTATTATTACGATTGTCACCCATCACAAAGACGGAATATTCGGGTACTTGCTGCAGCATGAATAGCAAGTATACATTCAGAAACAGATTGGCACAGACATACAATGAAGGAAACTACAAGTTTGCACAACTTGTGAAATATTTTGGCTTTAACTCAAGACATTGGTTTAACCTCTCAATGGCTAGTTGGCTACACTACTCATCTGGGCTTTGGCCAATGGAACTAAAAGTAGAAGCTAAAGGTTTTTAAATTTTTGATATGGAAACGTACAATTGGTGTCATTTCATACGAAGGTGCTTCATTGATGAACTCTTTGTTTCGTACAACCCCATTAACAATAAGCTTTCCATTATGAACCTGCATCAGAACAAATTTTAAGATTTCATTCTAATGAAACCAAAGTATAGATGATAATACGTCAAAACAAAAGAAAGAATATAACATCTGGGTAATTGTAAAAAATTGGCCTACTTTACTCGGACACGGGTGTGAGTGTCAAACACAAGTATGTTCAAGTTTTCCAGAGGGTTCTTCAAGGATCAAATTTCCATACCTAGGTCCAAATATGCATCAGAAACAGGTACTTGAATAAAAATAAAGTGTTAGGGCAACAAAGGGAGTGTGGCACCTTACATGTTACTAAGAAGAAGAAAAAGACATCTCTGGGCATACATAGTATGCGGGAGGCCAACAGAAATGACAGATATTTTGCAAAAATATCTATTTAACATCTTCCAGAGTTCTACTGATTCAACATCAGCATGCAACATTAATATTTAGTAATAATTTTCTCAATATGGTGAAAAACAGATACAACCAGCTTATCAGAAATGGAAATACGAAAGCTTAGAAATTGTCAGAGTAACCTCACCTCCACAGTATCGCCTTCCTTAGCTACTATTCGTTTAATGAAGACATCATCATCAGTGTATCCTACTTCCTGAAGAACTGGTGGCCTTTTGAAGATGACAATGTCATTAGCACATGGCTACCTAAAGTAGTAGGAAACCTGACATTCAAATTTTAAATACTGTCATGATATATGTAAGAATTAAACATTTTGTTCACTTATTGGTGCATTTCTAAAACAAAATTAGATTTTGTGTTCGTATCAGGGATTCAAATAGTGTCCGGGTAACAGAATGGAAGCGGTGTCCGAAAACTTTATTGCGGAAAATAGCAGTGGATCGCGGCCTCAATTTAACAGGTAGCGGCCAATTGCGGCAATAGCGAGCCATTATTCCTGCTATTGTTCAGCTATTCTAATTTTATCTTTTTTAAAAAAGAAAAAGAAAAAGAAATCAACTCCTTTGAAAAAATTCACGAACGCGATACCTGCAATGACCGCAATAGCAACCATTATGTCCGCAACCACGATAAGCGCAATGCGACCGAACCGCAATTTAAATATCTGGCTTGTATCATACTCCTCTAGTCAGAGTATGGTTCTTGGTAAATCCTATGAAAACATATCCTTCCCGCAGTCGTTTATAAGGCTTGCCATGACTAACATATCGTAGTTTTTCTATTTAGTTCTTTAGGCTCAAGAGATCATTTCAGTTTTCACTTTCAAATTTTAGCAATACCAGGAAAAATCATTAAAGGAAAAACTTACAGGAATGTTCCAGTTACGACAATCTAAAAACAAATACTACAAGAAAATCTGTTTCTTAAATCACTTAAGCTCACAAAGCACAAATTCTACTTCCTAAGGAATACCAGGTATTAAGAAGTTTAGTTAAAACCTGTCATTTCTTAACCTTCACTGAAAGCACTAATGTTTCAAACCATTCACCTAAGATGAAGCTTTTACC